GAGAGTGACGACTGAAGGGGTGTGTCACTCATTCACCAATCTGCGGCATCACTGTAGCAAAGTGCTGCAATGTTACGCACAGACACCTGGGCTCACGCACATATAGCACACCAAGACACAGAATGCTGCAAAAACTGTAAACGGAGTTACCAAAGAAATTCAGCACCATTTTTCTTTATTTCCCTTCAGCTTAGAGAGAGTGTGTCTGCCACAGTGTGATGCAGAGCAGTGATACTGCAGTGCAGCCCAACCCCACATTACAACCAGGTGCCTCTCTCTGGATGTAGTAATACTTGCACAGTGAAAAGACAAGACAGAAAGGAAGGAGGAGAAAAAGACTCCCGGTCAACCCGTCTACAATACTGCCATTCCCAGATGAGAGGGCAGAAAACTTACTGTGAACACATGTGATCAGATCCTGTTTCTTCTTCTCAGCATCTCCGAACTTCTCCATGCAGGCTAGACAGAATCAAAGATGTAGACAAAGAGATTAATGACATATAATCAGTCTTCATCAATCAGATGTTTTATTTAGAACGATAAACTTACTTAAATACTTGGGATAGAAGTAGTCCTAAATCAGGGAGAAGGGTCGAAAGAGAGGGATAAAGTTATGCAGGCATATCAACAAAAACCTAAAACAGAACAAGGTAATCTAAATAAATGCTCACGATTAGTAGAGGGGCTTCTGTTAATACTTGACATAAGCTAGGATTTGGTTTGGTTTCATGCCTGATCTCGGTGCTCATATACTCATGGGAGTGAAAAGAGACTTGCAAACAATCATTCATTTTGACATTATGCGTCGGTGTGTTAACTTTGCGCCGAGAGATCACACAGACACAGAGATTCTGTGTCTGTGTGCTCGCTCTAATGGGTGCGGCCCTTTGCCAAAGGCTTCCTGAGAATTCTCTGCATTCCTGATAGTAGTAGCATCCCCCCCGCCTCCTGGCTGCAGCACTCCTCCACATGTAGGTCAGAATTTGGGGATGATCTACCAGTGGGAAGATCTGCTCCAGAGGCATATGGAGACTTTAAAGAACTACTGCTGCTGCAGTAGGATCCAGATGCAGCAGGCTGAGGTGGAAAACTCTCTTGCAAGAATCAGTTATCAGACAAAAGTTCCAAAAGATTATTTGTAAAAGGTCAGTTACGTTTGTTTGAGATGCAGTGTGGTCCTAAAGCTTGTTTGGAGTTATTACCAAACTCCTTAGATCAGTTGCGACACCTTCTGACTCTTTCACTAACAAGTGAGATACCAGAAACTCGTTGCCAAAGATAATCGTGAGTATCAAGGAACACCCCCACTCTCCCTCTCTCTCTCTCTGCAGAGCCAGAAAGCTGCAGCAGAGGAAAATGCAGAGTCAGAGACGGGCTCTTTCAGAATAAATAATGCAGCTGTGAATGAGTCTGCAGCTTTGGGATACGATGGGGTAGAAACCTGCAGACACAGACACACACACACACACACACACACACCTGTTCTGATGGTGGTGCAAGTCCAGCTGATTCAAACTCAACTAAGACGGAACGTCACCTGCCTTCCCCTTTTCCTCTGAACCCAGCTCAACTTCGCGCTAATCCTCCCTCAGCCTCCATGTCTGCCCAATTGGCTAATCTTACGAGTAATCTCTGAGTCATCGATTGCCTCATTCACTCCCTCGCTGCTACAATTCACGACGGCCAACCTTCCGAGAGTTGAAGAGCGCATCAATGTCTCACTAACAAACCAAGCAGTTGAGCAAACATTCGACAACATCAGGATATACTGGTACGTTTTGACAGTTAGGCAAGAGTCTGCACTGTAAATGGCCCACACTATAACTTGGCTTACCAGGCAACATTCACATGTGCAAGCACAGGTGTTTGTTAAAAAGCCCAACAGCCCACGTTCCACGTTTTTAGACACGTTACGTCATTTATATCTTTGGGGCTTGTTTGGCATATGCAGCACATATTCAATAATCTTACATATTCGCATGAATGGAAAGGTAATCTGTGCATTCATAAAGGTAGAATGGAAACTAATCTGCAGCAAGTATTCCTGAATATACACACAGTGTGATGGATTTTGTTTGTTGGTAAACATTGAATAGGAAAAAGAGGGTGGGAGCATGTATACAGATTAGTGAGGCAGTGTGCACGAGCAGAGCTCCAATTGATAGGGACAATTTTCTTTTTTACCAAATTTAATATATTTAGACGGAAAAGAAAGACACACCAGTGACAGTGTGTGTTTACGTGTGCATACAAGAATGATGTGGAGCGTAGGGAGCTTCACTGTATTTCGTAAATTAAAGATTAGTCACGCGCCGACTCAAAAAAAAAACAACAAAACATGACAAGTCTTTGACATTTGACATGGGAATATTATGTGCACTGACAGCAATCAGCACTCTGGACCTATTGGAGCATGAACACCAGCGGCCCAGACAATGAATCATTAGTCGACTGTTGCATTACAGTCATCAATTTACAGTCACTATGAACATGATGTAAACAACCGACCGTTTTTTTCTAGTGGATATCGTGTGACAAATCTAGGCTGACATTATGAAGTGGTAACATGTGTCTTGATTAGTTACCAGACTGCAGCACCTCAGTGGAGAACGAGAAGGTGTGGTGTTGTGCTTCGGTTGCTGCATTCAAACCTCGGACTGAAAACCACAACTTTAGACTCACCGTCTCCGGGTCGTTTTCAAACACTTCTCTGGCCTCCTCTTTGCTGCACTTTTCCTCCACACACTCCCTCTCCAAGTGTCCTTGCTTTGTCTCCTCGAAGACTTGATTTGCTCTCCTCTGTCTGCTCAGAAACTGGTTCGCCTCTTGGGGAGACAGCGAAACTAAAGAAAGAAAGAAAAGAAAGACACCCCAAAAAATACATTCATTTAACCCGAAAGAACAGGAGAAGGTCAAACAACTCTCGATGCAAGCACTATTTTTGGCTCACAAAAACGAAAACATTTCAGAAAAGGTTGCGAAACATCTACCGTCAATGCCTCGCTAATGACGTTAATAACACGCTTCATCATCAGCCACAACACAAACGTCAAAGGGGACTTAGCGAGCTAGCTAGCCACCTAGCATGTAACCTAATTGTTTACTTACTGCTGTCGGACCAGCGGACAACCAGCAGGGTCAGCAGGGCTGCCGATGAGAGGGACATAGTCGGGGTCAGCCGCATTGTTTCACCGCTGTGTCTGCGCCAAGCTTCAGAAACTTTCTCCTGTCCCGTGTTGCAGTCTCTCCGTGCACCTCTCTGTCTCCTCGTCTCTCAATGTCACCGAGCCGAGGCTAACGTTAGAGCGAAACACGCTGCAGGTATTCAGGTACTTTCTGATGTGAAACCACTGCCGCGGACCGCTGCAAACCTAAACTGTCGTGTGCTTCTCCCGCATGTCGTTCAGCACACTGGCAAATTAAGCGACCGTCCTCTTCTGTGTGCGGTTCAGCTCGTCCCCCATAGCGGTGTGTACTTTATTTGTTGACCCTCCTGTCTTGTACTGAGCCCTCTCTGGCCCGGACCGAGTGCCCACTCTGCAGAGAAAGACAGCACGCCTCTGCTGCTTCAGGAGGGGGAGTACGCACTGAAGAGTGCAGACAGGAGTTTGTAGCGATGCATCCCTCCCTCCTCCTCCTGCGTGTGCGTGTGCGTGTAGATGTGTGTGTGAGTGTGCGTGTAATGACGCCGTTTCCTGTCTTCATGAGTTTTGTATCTTCTCCTCAAACTCTCCGAGGGATTGTAGAATGACCAGTAAAGCAGCTAAAACATGGCATTTCCCCAGTAAGGAAAAAATAAAATAATAATTATATATATACCGTATATGTTTCAGTTGGTTAAGTTCACTTTAATTAGTTCATGTGTTGCTGGGTAGACAGTTAAATCAACTTACATATAGATCAAATTCAAATTTGCTACAGATGAAACTACCCAACAGTAAGTAAAGTCAACATTAAAATACTGCCTGCACATTACTGCACGAAAAGTGCTAATCTAACAATACATATGCAATAAATCTCTGCAAGACACTGTTTTGCATAATGCATATAATATGTATGTGTTCCTTGGCTCTTTGGAGTAGTTTTAAATGTTGGTAGTATCACTTATTTAATTAAGTCCTAAGTAAAAGATCTGAGATCTTCCTCTAATTTAATGGGGCGATCAGAGAAGTCACAGTTTAAAAACCCTTCAGGGCAGTTTATTTTAGATTTCTTTTTTCAAGTAATTTTTCTTTCAGTTTTGTTTTCTCGGAATCGCTCCTATTTCTTTACAATTCAGCCCATATCAGTCCTCTGCTGATTTCCCCATTTCTGTCTTGGCCATTATTGACTTGACATGAATAGACCTGTGTGTCACGTGTTGAACTACTGTTTTTATCATGCAGGGTGTTAGAATGAAATCCTCGTCACACACTGGGAAATCCAGATGAAACCCCCCAAAACAGTAGTAATCAGAATGTGTGTAATGTACCTGACAGGTTGTGCATTACATTGTTTAAAATTGTCGTTATATTACTGTAGAACAAAAAAAAGCATTTTGCAGGTTATATTGATGTATTGCATTTTTAAATATGGACCCAGAGTCTAACATTGAATGATTTAAGAACTGCACTATTGATTAAATTAAGGGTATTATAAACAAATATGTTGTATTTACCCCTCAAGCAAGTATTGCAGTGATCTCCCAAAAATTCAAACTTGTACAATGTATTACTGTAGTAGCATTATGATTTTGACAACCTAGTTTAATGGAGTGATTGTGGCAGAGTGGAGCATGACGGTGCAGAACCATGTTTCCTTTCGTCGCTGCAGAAAAGAAGGAGGAATCACTTGATGTTAAACAAAAACACAACCGGGTCACACTGTGTTTTAAAAATTACTGCTGTACGAGTTTGTTGTGTCACCAAGGACTTAGGAAAGATGGATTGGCCACACTGGCTGTGACAAGAGGGCAGATAGATGCACTGATGCAAGTTTTGTTGAAATTCCACACAATCAGGTTGCTTTGACCACATTTTATTAAAACAAACAACTACATTTAAGTATTATATTAAAGATGGCTTGTTTTATATACATGGTGAATTCTGAACACGGATCCAACCAGGAAAAGCCTGGTTTTGGCTGAGAAGTGTAAAACATCTGGAGACAACCAATGTTGGGTTCTGGGAACAATCAAATGATAAACCATGTTTCTAACCGTTAGGCTCCAAAACCAGCTCAGGAAGGCAGACCTCCAATTCGGGATGCTATTTCAAACAAAAAAATGCAACAGAGTTGGATGGAAAGCCTGGAAGCTTCAGCTTTCTCCTCTGTGGTTTTCACCACCACAATTGCTAGTTGTCTCCAAGACGTTTGCCTCCCAAGAAACCACAATTGAAGGGAAGGTAGACACAGTACCGTGATTCAACAGGGAAAAAGATGCAGGTGGTCTCAAAGCAAGGTCAACAGAGACCATTTGTTTATTTTTCTACACAAACATAACCACCTCTTTTCAACACACGGTATGTGTGCTACAGAGCTCAGCTCTTTTTCAAACGTTTCTTGGAAAGCATTTAATTCATATCAACAATCTGCTACAACTACGTCATCCAGCCATCCAGCTTCTGCTCGCTCACTGGCAAGCCAGCTTTTGTTGTGCCTCACTAAAAAAAATACTCCCTGGACAGGAACAATAATACTGTATGGATGAAAAGCATAACACAAAGCTTACAATGAACCCGTCGGAGAAAGTCGACAAAGATGTCTACAATCGTCTACCTCTGTCTCCTCTTCTCGTCACTTCTTTCTCGTCCCCTCCTCCCTCCCATCTTCTACATCTCTCTTTCCAAAATATCCCAAGATGTGGCCGCAGTGGGATGCTGCCTAGTGTGCTGCGCTTTTTAATGTGCTGTTAATCAAGGTCACTTTCTGTGCTGGTGCGTTGCCTCAGGGTGACGCTCAGGGGCAGACACAGGGGGACACGAATGGGACTTAATACTGTTATGTTTGCTGAGAGCGTTATCGAAGTCCAGCTGCTGGCCGTTGATAGCGATGTCCATGCAGCCGTGGTAAAAGGCCGTTACAGGGGTGGCAGGTAACGGGACATCGTCTGAAAGAGAGACAGTCAGGGAAAATGACGATAATGAAATTGTGGTAAATATAGCCCTTTTACTACCAAGGATGTAACATGCTGCACAATAAATAAATAAAACAAAATAAACACATTAACAGGAAAAAGGGAAGAGAAAACTGAATGAATGTACTTTAGTTTTAGGCAAAACAACCACGAGAGATTGACTTTGCTGAACTCATTAAGTCATACAATCCGCATGTTTGTTCGGAGGGAGGAAAGGTAACTAATCCATTGTTTTAGAAGAGCCAACAGGGATTACAATATCGGTCTGTCGGTTGTTCCATCACTTTGGTCCAGACTGAAATATCTCAACAACCGTTGGATGGTTTGCTATGCGATTGTTTTTGTCTCCTGATGATTTTGGTGATCCTCTGGCTTTTATCTAGCTCCACCCTGAAGGTGACATTTGAATTTAAGGGAAATATCTTCACAACCATTGCCATGAAATCTGGTACAGACAATTCATGTCCCCCTCAAGATGAATTGTCATCACTCTGATCCCTTAACTTTTAATCTATCGCCATCATCTGGTCAAAAATGTAAATTGTGTCCATGAATGAAGAATGTGTCCTCCTCAGCTGTACGGTGTTAAATAGCAAATGCTAACACCCTAAACCAAGATGTGAAAATGGTAAACATTATACCTGCTCAACGTCAGCAAGATAGCATTGTCACTGTGACTATAACAGCATGCTGACATTAGCATTTAGCTCAAAGCACCATTATGCCTCAGTACAGACTCACAGAGCCGCTGGCGAGAGTGGCCTACAGTTATGATGTTACAGCACAATCAAGGGAATATTACAATTAGCTTTGCTTTGAACTTCTTTTCCAGAATGAGAACATTTCTGAGAAAGCTTTCTTATAAATAGATGAGGTCTGAAATGATTTTAGCCAGGAAGCCACATTGGCCATTCAATGGTGACCGTATATAGCTAATAAATACTGCTCATAGTTACCTTCAAAAGAGTGGATTTTGTACTTTTACTTAAAAGATAAACTAACCTGGTATCCCACCAATGTATGTACTGATGGGGTTCTGCATAGTGCTGTTGAGGTGCTCCAGTGCCTCCTGCAGGGCATCAGACTTCATGTAGATAACAGTGGAGGAGTTAGCTGAGACTTGGATTTCTGAGGGAGTCACATTCAGCTGCACTGTCAGCCGGTCAGGGTAACACAACATCAGTGAGTCCAGCTTTGCCACGGAGACGCCGTCCAAGAAAACTTGCAAGTTCTGGAGCATGGAGGTCAATAACAACACAAAGTTTAATCATGTGTGCTTGGGAAGACATGCAGAGATACACGTGTTTATTTCCAACTACAGTGTGGATGAACTCACAGCATCTCCGTCTCCCTGCGTTACCACAGCAATGGACAGGGGGACTGTGTTGTGGTGGACAAGAGCAAAGAGGACACCTGTGCTGCTGGACGGACGTATGCTCATCTTTATATCGACATTCCAACTCCCAGAATCACCTAAGTTACACACACAAACACATTTATTTAGGAAGGTTGTCCATTTCCATTTTTTAAACCAAAATTGAAGGATCTCATATTTCTCTGTCTACTCAACCCTTAATAACTTTGAATATTCAAAATCACACATTTCAAATGGGTTACCACTGCCTCGATCAGTTATTTAGTTTGTGTTAAAGACACACAATACCACAAACTAAGCGATTGAGGCAGCGGTAGGCCAGCAGCTCTGTCCTGCGAGGTAAAACGTTTGGATTCTGTTGGCCTTGAAGAGAGCATTACATTTAACTCATACTATTTTGTTAGGTGAGCCTTTTCAGGTGGGTTAAATGTGTGTTGATGCTGTTCCCGTCCACAGAAGTATATTATATTGCTCCCATGCCGGGTACTCCTGTCTGTTTCTCCAAACTTGGGGCATGCCGCCATCTACAGTAGGTAATACACTGCTCGTGTATAAGTACCTCATACAAACCCAATTTAAAAAATACAAACCATCCCTTTCAGAAAGTCTGTGTTCCTAAAGCCCTGACAGGTATTGTCATGATATAGAATATATGGTACATACACAGGTGTAACAGCTTCAGTAGAACCTACCATATATGTCTAGTAAGACCTGAGCTGGTCTTACTACAAAAAGTAGGTCTTGGTTCAAAACCCACCAACTTGGGCCTGTCTGTGTGGAATTTTACGCTCCCTTTGTTCACGCGTTTCTCTGGGGTGCTAACCCTAACCCCCCCCCCCAAAAATGCTTGTTTAGTAAAGCTACCATTAAACATGGCACCAAGCTCAAAACTACCTTTGGTCCTGCAACACTGTGCTGTGACCAGAGGACAAACTTTCCCATAGGAATTAATAAAGTATAACTTAACTTACTCACTGTAGTCAATGTTGAAGTGTGCCAGTCCTGCCCCAGTGAAGAAAGACCCCCGTTCCACATTCAAAAAGCAATGTTTACTCTTCATCTCCTGGATGACCTCCTTTACCCCAGATGCTCCCTGATTCATGAGGTTCCAGCCCCGAATGCAGCCATCAAGTCGGGGGTTGATCTAATGGATCGATGGATACACACATTGAGCAAAAACAACACTGGCTTGGAGCTGGTCCAATGTAAATCCTGATACATTCATTTCACAACGTTGTCAAGGGGATTTCATTAGATGTGGCTACGGGTCAAAAAAGTATGATTCATTGTGTGTGCATGCTTTCAGTACACCTGCTTACAGGTTTGATGACGTCAGTCCCGTTGGGCAGACCAGCGATGTAGACCTTGGTCTCCAGTTTGCCGTTAACTGAAGTAAAGAGACTCTCAGGGCTGTTGATGCTCATCACAGCTTCCTTACTGATCTTCACACTGATGCTGCTCTCCAGTTCATCCACAGAGATCTGCATGTTTCACGTAGAGCACACAGTTACACACAACCCGCCTTTCATCAATTCAGTTTATGGATTAGCACTTCGGCTATCACTATGTTAACCATAGGGGAACACGTTGAGTATGTGCAGGGGATTACTGGACTTTAAAGTCATTCCTACCACATGCCACTGTCCATCATTGATGGCTTTTCCTCCGCTGGTGACCTTGAACGTGTGCTGGTTTTTATACTGGACTTCAATGCGACCGCCTCTTAGCCCCAACATGAACCACGAGTCCTGCGAGGACTCTGCGTACAGCACAACTCCCTCTGGGTCAAATGTACGGAAGTCAAACTCCGCTGCAAACCTAACAAACAGAAAGACAGAGATTAGTATACACAGTAATCCAACTGTAGTTATGTACGAATGTAACTGCAAATCAATTTCTAGAGGCCTGGAACTTGATGGAGATGGAGCTTTAGGCTGCATTGATTGATACTCATCTACTCCCATCTTGGAAGCTACCAAAAAAGATAAATTTTCATGCTTTGACTCATTGTTATTTTGCACTAAATGTAGTAAAAGCCATAAAAAAAACACTTATGATCCTTTAAGAAAATAAGTACACCAGGTGTGTTTGTGATAGATCCTCACTTTGTGTTCTCCGGCAGACGGAAGAGCAGATAGATGACATAGCCTCCGAACTGCTCTCCCAGGTAAAGCATCTCAGGGTGTGTGTGGTCATACAGTTCCACACAAACAGGGATTCTTTCACAGTAACGCTCATCCTTCGCCAAATACAGACCCTGACGACCATCACAGTGGCACCCGTAGCTGCCCACAGTGTTTATACACGTCCCTTCGCACACATTCAACTCGCACTCATCTATATCTGCAAAGACAGGAAAAGAAAGAATTACAGCAGTGATCTTTGGTTGAATGTCTATGGTAGCTTTTTTTTTTTTTTTTTTAAGTCTCACCGTTGCAGGTCTTGGAAAATGAGTTATAATTGAAACCCAGGGGACACTGGCACTCGTACATGCCCGGCGTGTTGACACATTTAGCCGGTTCTTTACAGATACTGGGGTACATCCGGCATTCGTCGATATCTGGAAAACAGTAAATAAAAGAGTGAAAATGTGAAGCTGGTCTTGTGAGTCCTGATTAAAAAATAAAATTTTCAAATATAAACTATATGGTGTTGATTGCAAGTGTAGTTTTGGTACATGGATAAAATTAATAAATGTGACCGAAATCACAATAACTACAATTGCTTATACTTCCATTGTTCACGCTTTTAGACACCATTAGTTTGTAAAAGTCACATTTAGAAAAATGTGAAATGCAGCTGCAAGCAGAGCCTATTTTGAAAACCCCTCCATGGTGGTGGGTTCAAGGAAGGAGTCAGCTGCTGAAAATCTTTTGCTCTCATGAGATATGTTATTGTAAAATTAAACCTAGCAAACAAGCAATGAGCTGTGAACAGAATACAGTTGAGGTTCAGCCAGCAACTCTCAAGTCTCATGCCAGTCTCCTTCAATGTGGTGCAGAAACAAGATGTTGGTAAAGAAAATGACCCACGAACCAGTTTGATAATCGAATTGGTTAAATCATTTAGAAAGCAAAGAAAAAAAAAAACATTCACTGGTTCAAGTTTCGCAACTGTGAATATTTTCTGATTCTGTTTTTATATTGTTTGACCAACAAAATAAGCAATTTGATGATATATTCTAGGGTCACACCTCAATATTTACTGACATTTTATGGACAAATATATGATTCCATTTTAAAAATATTAAGTATGGGCTCCTAAATATCCCGGGGAAAAAAAGGGGGAAAGCAAATTTACCAAACTGAGTCAGTCCATGTTTGTGAAGACTTTGTACTGAACAAGCCTTAACACACTGAAGATAAACACTGAGTGAACTTCCCACAAATACAAATATGCGTAAATGAGACAACAGTCATCTACAAACTGTAAGCAAGTTCTAACAGCTCAGACATGTGAGACTGGTGGACCATCTTTTTAGATGTTAAAAACTTTTCATATTGTGTTACATAAGAGGTCACCTCAGGTCAGCTTTAGAAATAACAAATAGTTCAGGCCCTGAGCACAACAGCTGGACAGCAGAGATTTTGTTATGGAGTGTGTAGGGTTCCACAGCCCATATGAGTAAATAAAAAGAAACAATACACTACAAACGTGTGTTTGCTCAGCTGCTTAGTAGCACTATATGTCCCTCTTCCATAGGGACAGTGAAAAAGCTGAGATGTATAATACACATAAGTACATAAAAACTGTACGTTTCTGTCCTTTGGTGAAACTGAAATCAAACTTGAAATGATTCATAACATTACTGCAGTTTAGCTGCACAAATTGCTATTGAAATGAATGGAGTCTTACCAACGCAGTTGACTTTGTCACTGGTGAAGTAGCCTTCTTCACACATGCAATGGAAAGTACCGGGTAAGTTGTAACATTTCTGGTTACATCCCGCTGGGAATTCCGGATCTGAACACTCATCGATGTCTGCCCAGTCAACACATTACACAACAACATTTATCAGCGGCCAGTTCAATCATTTCAAAAGGTTAAATTAATCCGTTTTAAGTTGAATTCTGAGCCTAATTTTAAGAACAAAATATCGACACAGAATGTTTGACAAAAAGTGAAGAGATGCCTGTTTTAAAAGTTGCACGAAAATATTTAAAATGCCAAATGACGTATCAGAACTTACCCTCGTCACAGCGCGGCCCCTTCCAGCCGGGTTTACACTCACACGTGAAGGAGGCCTGTCCGTCCACACAGCGCTTTGAACCGTCCTTGTAGCATGGCGGCGGTGTGCACTGGTCACTGATCTCTGCCGTGCAACAAACAGTTTCAGACACACACACATGTGATCTTAATGAGAGCCTTGACAAAAGCATTTCACGGGGGGGGGAATAACCTTTATCAGCATTCCAGACTTCATGACATTAAAATGCATTTTATACTAAGAAGGCCCTCACCCATCACACAGGTGCGAAGATCTGACGGGATGGGATCTGAGTTTTGATTGTTAATGCCGACACGGTGTGAACCCAGACAAACTGCAACAAAGAGTTTTCTGTCAGAACAGACTAGTAAAGGCAAAACAGCACTGATATTAAAACGTGGCAAACAAACAAGAGACACAATACATTCTGCAAACTTACCAACATATTTGGGGTAGAAGTATTCCTGGAAAAAAAAGATTTAAAGTTCACATTTGACAAAGACAGGAAGACAAAGCTGTGATCTGAATAACTGCTGTTTGAAACAGAAACGTCCATATAGTAATACAATAATACAAATGTATGTATGTTTAATTCTTTCTATATTATACTAAAGGAATATGAAAAGTGCAAAGGAAAAATGGAATATGTCTATAGGTTTTGGACTGTTGGAACACAGAGTGGCTCTTTTTTGCCATTTTACAGATCAAACAAATAATCAGCAAATTCATCAACAATGAAATGAATCATTAGGTGCAGCCCTAGTCTGATCTGTCGCTTGCATTTTCTTTCACCGCTCAATCCATCTCTGAATGTATTGCTTCCTTCTCGTCCCCTCGGATCAGTTGGTTGCTGCTCCTCTCTTACCGTCTCTGGCTGGTTCTCAAAGATCTCCCTGGCCTCCTCCTTGTTGCACAGCTCCTCGATGCACTCCCTCTCCATGTTGCCCTTCTTGCTCTCCTCAAACAGAGAGTTGGCTCTCCTGTGCCTGCTCAGGAACTGGGAGGCTGTGCTCTGGCTCAGGACTAAAGAGAGAGAAATAGATACAAAACACACGTGGTATTGTTTTATCACTGTTGTTTTCTAACACAACAATCAGGACCAACCAAACCAGTAAGGTGCAGTGATACTCTCACATGTGTGATTAATACAACCAGGCATATGCAGCTACATTATAACAACACATGACTGATCCCAGCAGGAATCCAAGTCCTCATGACAGATGGCTGATGCCTGTATGGACAAAGTGGACAATCTAATTACTCTTCTGTGAATTGGGGGGGAAAAAGGTCATTGCGAAACCGTTATTTCCCAGAAATTACTCCTAGTTGTTGTAACAAGCAGCTGATGTTGTCCAATCATTGTTTCACTGTGTAGAAAGGAGTTATGACCCCCACACACTTCATTTTTTTTTTGTCTGTTTGCTTAAAAAAAGATTGTAAGAGTCCTGAAACCGTTCCCAAGTGGTCGCATATAGGCTGAAAAGCTGCTTTCAATGAGAGGCACTGGCAGGAAACAGACTAACGGGCTATTCCGTGATTTACTTCTACTACGTAGAATTAAACCGCAAAAAAAAAACAAAAAAAAAAACACGTCCATACTTACATCGATAAGCATCGACGAGCGTCACGAGGAATACGAGACAAGCCACGGATTCCCCAAGCGCCCGATTCTTTCTCCACATAGTCGGGCCGTTCTTCCTGCTAGGCCACGGTTTGGCTGCGAGTAAAGACTTTATTCTTTCCCGAAAGTGTTTTCGTAGAGAGAGAGAGAGAGAGAGAGAGAGAGAGAGAGAGAGAGAGA